GAGGCGAAGGCGGACTGCTTTGCGGTGACAAGTGGATAAGTGGGGGGGGGGGAGGGGCAACGAGCGGGCATTTTCTTGTTTCCAGGGAAAAAAATTCACCGGCAACATCTCAGACGGCGAAAAAAATGCCTCCTGAGAAGCTCAACGGTTGGAGATGCTCTTACGCACTCCATACTCCAGTGAAATGGACGTCCGTTTTATGCTTTTCTTTTCTTTGGTAGCAGCAGCAGCATTTTTTCTTTTCGGATTCGTTGCGGTATGGTGAGCGGGATATGCGGGGCAACGCGAACCATCCGTCGGCGGGGGAGACTCTGCGTGCGTGAGGCTTGGAGGAGATGCCGGCATCGAAACTCAACTCACTGGGTGCATGGTACCATCGATTGTCCTCCGCCGATGCGACCGCGGCCTTCAATTTGGCACATGGACGGGTGCAGTGCCGGTGCCAGTGCGGGCCGCAGCAGGTCGTTGGGCTTCGTCAAACGAGCTGCTAGTACGTACTACAGCACAGTGCCGCCTCCACGTGAGGCCGAGCGTGAAACATGCCCCATGTTTGCACGACGGGTCGACGCCGACGACGACGCCGACGACGAGAGTGGGACTGTGCGAGACGAGGGCGCTCGCGAGCTGGCGTCACCAGGCCTACGCAGGCAACAGTGTCACGGCTAATTAATCTCGGCTCCGCTGCCTCTACATGACCACACGCGCGCCGCAGGTCGGTCTCTACCCTCGTGCCGCGGTCTGCTGCTCCGATCCGTCTCTCGGGGGCCGGCCGGCCGAGAGGGTGACCGGTGACGTGCACCCTCACCTCAGCTCGTCGCCGCGCGGGCCCCGGGCGAGACGCGTGGCGCGCCCGGCGTCCGGTGACGTCGCTGTTGCCCCGCCGCTCCGGGCAAGCGTAGTGCGCCGTCCAACGTCAGGTCGATCGAAGCACCGCCACCACCCCATCGCCCGGAGGCGACAGCACGGGCCAGACTTGCCCCGGCGGTCGGTCGCATGGCCGTGTCGCATATTCCCGCTGCGCTGCGACCCGAGATCTTTTTCTAGTTGTGCACAGAGGTCGTCGCACGGTCACATCCACCGCACTGTGCGCCATGGCACGGTCGCTGAGCCTTGCCATTCCTGCAAGTTGAAGCTGAAGTTGAAGTAGTGCATAGTATCCCGATCTATGGATCGATACCGCCTGGTACGTACGCGTTGCGTTGGCTACATGGGTTGTGTTGGTGCTAGGCCGGCCGGTCCGACTCCTTGATTTGCGCCGTGACGTCAGCTCATACGCACGCAGGCACGCCGTCCGTACAGTGATCGATAGACATCGACTCAATCGGCAAAGCAACCTGTGATTGGAATGGTTAGGGCATCTCCAACCGTTGGCTTTCAGGAGGGGCAAAAAACCGCCCCCGGAGGCGCATCGGCGCTAAACCGCGCACTGGGGGCGTGATGTTCCCCAGTCGCGGCGCGCACGGTTAGTCAAAAAAGTCAAACACGGCGCAAAAACGACTCAAATTTAATGCAAACATCGTCGAGTTCATTCAAACTTAAACATATTTTACAAAAAAAGTAAAAAAACTACGCGGGCTACCCCCGCCGTCTCCCTCGTCGCCCGCCGTCTCCCTCGCCGCCCGCCCACGCGGTTCTACATGCCGAGGAGGCGGTCGAACCGCGTGTAGTCACCGCCGTCGTCGTCATCACCGTCGTCGTCGTCGTCGCCGCCTCCGCCGTCCCTGCTGCATCCCTCCCCCGGTTGGCGCGGCGGGTTGGACGGTCCGGGGGCGTCGTCGTCGTCGCTGTCGAGGACACGACGCCGTGCTCGTCCTCGCGCCCACGCTTGCGGGCGGCGATCTCCTCCAGGGCCCGGCGCTGCCGGACCATCTCGTCGCGGAGGTAGTCGTCCCGCGCCCACCGCATGGCGTCCTCGTCGGAGAAGCCACGCCGGGCTATCTCCTCGTACTCCGCGGGGAGGACGGGCTCCGGCTTGGGCGAGGCGAGGACGAAGCGGCCGCTCGGTGGAGAGGTGTTGGCGCCGCCGGAGCTGCGGGTGCGCGCGCTGACCGGCGTGTCCTAGGGCTCCGGCTTGACAGGGCGGAGGCAGGGCGAGCCGCGAGGAGGAGGACCCCCCGGTCTCCATGCGCCTCGGGGTCCAGGAGCTTCCCCGGCGGCGTGAGAAGGAAGGGGGAGCGAGGTACTCCAGGCGCGGCGTGTTGCCGCCCTCGATGTGCTTGAGGACAGCCTCCAACGTGCGCCCGGGCACGCCCCACCACAGACGCCGGCCGGCGGCGTTGAGCCTGCCGGAGGGCACGACGCCGTTGGTGGCCTCGAGCTGCTCGGCCTTACGGCGGCGGAAGTACGGTTCCCAGAGCGGGCTGTCGGGGGCGTACCGTGGCGCCTCCCTCGCCGCACGCGGCAGGTTCGAGCGGATGCGCGCGATCTCCGCACGCCGCGCCGCGCCGGTCGGTACCGGGGGCACCGGCACACCGCCCGCGCTGATCCTCCACGCCCCGGGCACCCGCATGTCCGGCGGGACCGGGTACTCGGCCTCGTAAAGGAGGCGAGCCTCGTCTTCGTGAAGATGACGGCGGCCGAAGCCGTTCGCCGCCGCGCCGTCGCCTGGGAAGCGCTCGGCCATGGCTGTGAACTGGGGACAGCGAAAGAGAGGAGAGGAGAGGAAGGAAACGACGGCGGCGGGAGAGTGTGAGTCGTCGAGTGCGTCGGAGCGCTTCATATATAGGCCAAGGCGCGCGTGTCACCGTGTGTATGTGTGGCGGGCGAGGGAGGGCGAGGAACGCGCGTCGTCCGGTCTTCACTGCGCCGCCCGTGAGGCATCAATGGTGCAGGCTGACCGGCGCGGCAGCGCGGCAGCTTTGGCATTGATTCGCCGCGGGAAACGAGGCGATGAGGACGACGAAGGGCCGAGAGGAGAGTCGTGTCGCTGACGCGGCGGGCCCGCGGCTTTTTCGCGCCAAAACAGTTCGCCCGGCGCCCCCGGGCGCCCCCCCAGCGCGCCGGGTTCAGGCTGGGTCCGCCGGCGCTGTTTTCGGCCCAAGCCTGCGAAAATCGGGCTCCTGGGGGCGCGACTGGACCGTTTTTTCAGCGTCGGCGCGAAAAAAACGCCTGGGGAGGCCTTCCTGGGGCGCGGCTGGAGATGCCCTTAGATGGACAGTGGTATCCTCAGTTCGCCAGAGTTCAAATCTTGATGCTTGCATTTATTCTGGATTTATTTCAGGATTTTCGGCGATACGGTTTCAGTGGGAGGAGACGTTCCCGTCGACTACGAGACGCCTACGATGATTTCCTAAAGTCTTAAGATGATATGCCGGCTCAGTCTATCAAAAATGCTCATAAGGATAGATTGTGTGTGCGCGCGTTTATAGGAATGAGTGTATGCACGTTTATATGAGCGCTTGCCGGGTGTAAGCAAGTACTGTGGCACTTCTACTTGTTTGGTGTCAGATAAAATTACACAGCTACTGCCTCCTGTTAAACTTGTGCAGAGATTTACTAACGAGAGTACAAACGGGGTGCTGAAAATCCGTGAGAAGTCTATAGTTGCGCAATCGAGGGCCCTAGAAACACTGAAGCTTAGATTTGGCTCCTCGACGCAAGCAAGATGTCGGCAGTCGAAGCAAAGGTCAGCAGCCATGTTGCGGCAGTACGTTAGTGTCGCCATAGGCGCTAGGCGGGCAAGCAAGTAGGCGCGCATCGGGATGCATGCCGGCCACGTCAACCAAATTCATTTCACCCGCTGCACATGACCGAATGCGGCGTAGTACGTACGTACGTGGGGCAAGAGGCCAAGAACTTGGCGTATGCGCAATGTTCTAAACAGCAATCACATGCTAACGATGCTCGCTGTCTTATTTTAAAAACTATTGCGATTTGACAGCATATTTTAACCCCCGCTGGCCCGTGGTTTATGCCTACACATGTGGCCGCTGACGCACGCATCCGTCCGGCCTTTTGGTTAACCGGGGAAAAAGTTAGGGTTCTTGTTAACAAATCGGACGGCCAGTTTTGGTTAGCTGCTCCATGTACTAATTGGAAACAATTCATGCTGGCTTGACAGCTACAGAAGTTGAGGACACGGCAACAAGTGTGGCCGTCTCCAGCCATAGATGGTGGTGGCGCGCGCTGGCCCATGGTTACGTATGGCCTCCTCCCCGACGATGTCTAGTGGCAGTAGTTTTCTTATCCCGGGGAGGTGAGGG